GACTGTTGGAGCAGAGAATTCCCCACCCTAGCTCCCAGCAACTACCAGAGACAATGTCTTAGTCTGGCAATTTCTTGGTCTGAGTCTGTTTCCTCTGATGTCAAATGGGAAGAAGGGTGTTCGTTCACTCCCCCACCCCCATCAGCCTGGCAGTTTTGTGCCCATGGTAGGTTTTCTATGAGGACTATGACACAAGCAAAATATCAACATTTTTCAAAAGCACCCAAGTATAGGTGGTGTTTGTTATAGTGGTTAGTCTATTCTGGCTCTATCCTTCCGTAATCACCCGAGGGCTGGTTAAAACATTTTGTTAGGCCCCATCCCAGAGTTTCTGGTCCCATATGCCTGAGGGAAGGCACAAATAATTTGCATTTTATTTGATTGATTGAGACGGAGTTTCGCTCTTGTTGCCCAGGCTGGAGTGCAGTGGTGCAATCTCGGCTTCCTGCAACCTCTGACTCCTGGATTCAAGCGATTCTCCTACCTCAGCCTCCTGAGTAGCTTACAGGCACCCACCAGCATGCCTGGCTCATTTTTTGTATTTTCAGTAGAGACCGAGTTTCACCATGATGGCCAGGGTGGTTGTGAACTCCTGACCTCAGGCGACCCACCAGCCTTGGTCTCCCAAAGTGCTGTTATTACAGGTGTGAGCCACCGAGCCTGGCCTGAATGTGCATTTTTAACAAGTGCTGGGGGTGACACTGCAGCTGCTGCTGGCCTGGGAAACCACTGCCCTAGCACATAGCTGCAGTGTGGGAGTTACTATCCCATTTTACTGAGGAAATGGTACCCAGTCCCTGGCCATCATGGGCACTGTGCTGCCTTCCTGCTGTGTCTCACCAGTGCCTGCCCACGTAGTTGCTCACTGACTGTGGCCAAGTGAGTGTCATCAGAGGGAGGAAGAAGAGTTCCCAGAGTGGAAACCCTGGGCTGTAAGCCCGGCTCTGCCATCTCCCATCTGTCAAGCAGCAGGCAAGCTTAGCCTGAGTCTGTTTCCTCTGATGTAAAATGGGGAAAAGGGTGTTTATTCACTCCTCCAACCCTGTCAGCCTAGTAGCTCTGTGCCCACAGTAGGTTTTCTATGAGGACCTCTGTCTGATGCCCTTGAGTGGCAGATACTTGGGACTGAAGGAGGACTTCCGGTTCTAGATGCTCCAGTCCTACACCCTGACAGCCACAGTGAGTACCCACCTGTCTCACCGCCTCCAAGGCAGCTGACAGCTTTCCTGGTACAAGCTTGCAGCGGGGAAAGGGGAGTGGTATGGGAAAAAAAAGACTAAGGCTACAATCACAAATTTTAAATGCACACCTTTGCCAGTTATGAAAATTGTGTGGCAAAGAGAAAGGAGTGGAGAGTTTACCAGCCAAGGGCCGCAGGACCCCAACACCCAAGTTTCTTAGAACATTCATTGCAGGTTCCCTTTTATACTAGCAAAGTCCTCCCACCCCATCCCCCCACCAACCACAGCTTCCAGGAATCACTGAGATTCACAGATAAGGGAAGTAAACACAATTTAGAACACAGTTATGTTGAAAAGAGATTCGAATGCACATGTTACAAACAAGCAAGTCCCAGGAATCATTCAGGAGAAAAAGGCAGAATGACACTGAAATCCATCATGATGGTTATCCCAGGGAGTAAAGCCTTCAAGATCTCCTTGTCAGATGAGACTTTTAGAATAGGTGACCTGACATTCTGTTGACTGAGAAGAGCTGATGTCATCCTCAGAGCCCAGGTGATACACACATTCCTGGATTTGGCCACAGGGTGGATGGTGGTGCCCTCAGCTGAGATGGGAAGAGGGGGCAGGGCAGTTCTGGGTGTGGGTGGAATTTGGGGTGGAATTGGGGGTTGAAGAGAAGCAAGGTTCAGCAGTTTTGGATGCAGCAACTAAGGTGTCCGCGGGAGTGGATGGGGAGGCAGCTCTAACAAGGGTTTGAGGTCACTCAGGCTCTCTGGGTGGCAGACATGGCCTCAGTGATCCATTTACTACTGAGAGGACAGTGAGTGGCCCTGGGCTGCCTTCCACAGTGGCTGGCTTTTACCTAGGGCACCTGGCGGATGCTCTATCCCTCAGGTTTCACTTTTCGCCATGAGATATTGGCTCCTTTAAATTTCTGCCTGGGTCCTATTTTAAAAGTGGCTCTGCTGGATGGACAAGAGGTGGAAGGCAATTTGGAAAGAGCAAAAGAGATTCTAGTTGTCTTCAGTATAAAACTATGCATTGGGGCTGGGTGTGGTGGCTCACTCCTGTAATCCCAACACTTTGGGAGGCCAAGGCAGGCAGATCACCTGAGGTCAGGAGTTTGAGACCATACTGGCCAACACGGTGAAACCCTTTATCTACTAAAAATACAATAATTAGCCAGGCGTGGTGGTATGCACCTGTAATCCCAGCTACTCAGGAGGCTGAGGCACGAGAATCACTGGAACCCAGGAGGCAGAGGTTGCAGTGAGGCAGAGATTGCACCACTGCACTCCAGCCTGGGCGATAAGAGTGAAACTCCATCTCAAAAGAAAAAATAAAAAGAAAACTATGCATTGCTTAGGGCGCACCCCTCCATTTATCTGATTCTAGACTTTCATTGCCTTTGAGCTATTTTTACAACTGTCTAAGTTGTAGAGTTAATGCAAAATAATTCTTTTCTATGGATATGCATATAATGTATATGAATGAGATTCAATTGACCTTTCTCCTCCAAAAAAAAAAAAACCAAAACAAAACAAAACAAAAGAAACCCAGCCAGTTTCAACATTCCTTTACTCCATATAGATTTATGGTTCATTGTGATTTCTCTTTTGAACTGGCTGTTAATCTCAGCGACACTCTCAATTGAGTTAAATAAAATCTTAGACATGTGTATATGTAATATTTATGAGTCATGTCTTTTTTTAAAAAAATTATATTTAACAGCAGGCATGGGAAGGACCAATACAACTCAGAGATGGAAAGGCTTGCTGTGGTCCATGCAGCACAAAGCCCATCCCCAGCCATATCATCCCAAGGGTGTAGCCTGGGCTTGCATACCTCCAAGGACAGGGTGCTCAGTCCCTGCTAGAGGCCACTTCACTTCTTCCTGTATTAGATCACAGCTATGACTTCAAAAACAAGAATGAGTACAAATCTAAATCTAGAAGAAAACACTATGGTCCTCCCAGACAGCTGAGTGCTTGGGCCTAAATCAGCATCTACATGCACGACCTGCAACCCTGGGTTCTGTGCAAAGGCGGTGTGGCTGAAATGGCTGCAGGTGGAGTGAGGAGAGAGGAAAACACAAGCTCGTGGTGACACTCCACTGCCTCAGAACAAAACCCTGGCTTTTCCTGACCTTCCAAGCAGGGTGACCGTGTATATTTTCAAATATCAGGTTTTTCTCAGGGCACCAGGGCAAGCCAAGCAAGACCCACACACGCTAGTCTCACACAGGTCCTGTAGCACCGGCCCCAGGTTCCCAGCCCTGCCGAGCTGTCCTCACAGAGATGGACACCCTTCCTCATGGGAGGCACAGAGGAGCACCCGGTCCCACTCTGAGACCTCAGGCAAGTCCCGGCACATCCCAGGGACTCTGTTCTCCTTACACGTGGGACCAGATGGGGTCCACCAACTGTCCAAACATGATATCCTGCCATCTTCAGAGCACATTAGCCCCAGCACTATGCTCACAATAATCCCTTCTCCCCACAGACCATCCCTCCTGGCCCCCAGGCCTCTGTGGCCTACCCTGGCCCCTTGACAGGTGATGGCCACTCTGCTCCTTCTGGGAGCTCCCTGGAAATTTTGGTTGTGTTGGTTTCTGGTAGGATCTAAACTCCAAGCAAGAAGCAACACCCTGCTTTGCCTCCCCACCTCTATGGCACAAAAGTAAACAGACCTTGAACTCCAAATGCCTGCTGAGGCTTGCCGCAGACCTCGAAGCCTTGTTCCTAATGGGACAGGGAAGTGGACCATTTCATTTCAGTGTGGTTCAAAGCTTGAGCTGACATGTGACCCAGGCAGCTCTCTTGCAGGGACTGGCAGCCACAGATAAACTCCCCCAGTCATTAAGATTATGTTAGCAATAATTCAGGAGACGCATATTAATCTGGATCTTTGTTAGATGCTTTACCCATCTCAACTCATTTAATCCTTGAAACCTCACGGGGGTAGGAAGTTTTATCACCCCACACCCACACACACCAGCAACGGTCAGGCAGCACAGGCACACCCTAGCCCTGAGCACCTACTCATTCAAATGTGGGCCCACCTCCCTGGAGAACTCCTCTAAAAACACCATAAGAAGTAATTCCAATAACAAAACACTGTACAGTTGTTGTTTCTATAAGCCCTTGTAAGAGCAAAACCCTGCACACAACTGTTACACCCATCCACAGAAGCGCGATGGGAATAGTTGGCAGCATCCCCAATGTTCGTCCCGCTCCTGGAGGATGCTGCATTTCACAGCTGCATGATTTCAGTGGGATGATGAACCATGAAGAGGAGGGTGTCCGGGGGTCCCTTCCCTTGCTGGCTTCACCAGCACATCACCCCCAACAAGGGGAGGCTCGGGGTTTGCCGGGATAGACTCCTTCCCTCCACCATAGGTGAAGGGGATGCTGTGGAAGGCAGAGCAGAGAGAAAAGGAAACAAGATCCTGTTGGCGTCAGAGTCATTTGGATCAACCCAACCCTGAAACTCACCCCACCTTTGGACTTTCCAGTTTCAGGAGCCAAAACCTCCCCTCATTGTTTAGACCAGTTTGAATTGGGTTTTCTATTACCTGTGACTGTAAACGTACTCCTCTGGTACAAAGGCGAGGCCCATCTGCTCTTGGCACGCTCCTACAACTCATGGTGTGACCGTGAAAATGCACTGTGGATCAGTATATTAAGTAACATCTATAAAATACTATGTAAAATGATTCCATGTGTGTGATGACCTGAGTATATGCATGGGCATTTTCAGGAAGGATTCCTAGTAGTAGTTACCTCTGGGGAACAGAAGACATACTTTCACTTTTCATTTTACATTCTATGTTTAGATTTTTATTTAAGTATACTTTTTTAAAAGACTAGTTTAAAAGTTGTTTGAGGTGACAAAATTATGGTCCAAGGTGATAATTTATTCTGGTAGTTTTTTTTAATTTTATTTTTTAAGTTGGAGTGTCCTCTGTCACCCAGGCTGGAGTGCAGTGGCTTGATCTTGGCTCACTGCAACCTCCGCCTCCCAGGTTCAAGTGATTCTCCTGCCTCAGCCTCCCAAGCAGCTGGGACAACAAGCATGCATTATCATGCCCAGCTAATTTTTGTATTTTTAGTAGAGCTGGGGTATCACCATGTTGGCTGGGCTGGTCTTGAATTCCTGGCCTCAAGTGATCCGCCTGCCTTGGCCTCCGAAGTGCTGGGATTACAGGTGTGAGCCACTTGCGCCCGGCCAGTTCTGACAGTTACTACCATGCATTGGAAGCCCCTGATGGAATATAAGATGCAGCACACAAAAAGAAAGCTGAGTGAAGAAAAAATTGTTTCAGACCCTTGTAAGGAATACTCATGTCCTCCTTCCCAAAACTGGGCTCACTGAAGTTGGCAATTTCATCAAAACAGTATCCACTTATGTACCCTTAACTTCTTCTTCCAAGGTTACACAGTAGTCCCAAGTTCTACAATGCCCACTTCACGTTTTCCTGAGGCACCCTGGAGACGCCAAAAACATTTGAGAATGAACGTGCCTTTAATGCAGCCTTGAACATGAATGGCCAAGCCTTGCCAACTTGATAAGGAGCTAAAAAGGCTCTAAAGGTGTATGGCTCCCCAGATTTCTGGAAGGCATCTAGATGAATGAGGACACGGCTGCAGATGGTCACCTGCCCTGGAAGGCCGGGCAGCATCCTCCCGGGCACGACAGACACAAGCACAGGGAGGTGTCCCTACCAAGATCCATCATGGGGGACAGGTTCCCATAGCCCCAAACACACAACCTAAAAACCCTGTGATTTTGTGGACAGACACCCCGTTGACCATAGAGCTGGAAATGCCCACCCATGAAGGTCATTCAGCACTCTACCACCCACCCTCACCCAGCACAGCTGAAAGCTTTGAACCAGTGGGCGACAGGCTGATGCACCTGATACCTGGGCAGAGACCTTCCCATGACAGCAGGATGCCTTAGGTGCCAAGACCACTGCTACTTCTCTCCTTTCTCTGCAGTCTATATTCCTCTGAGACTGCTGGCTGAGAAACCATCAGGTGGGCTCCCTGTTGAGACTGAGACCCTCTCTGCTGCTGGGACCAACATTGCAGCCATCTACACTCACATGCGTGCCTGTCACCTCCCCAGTGGCCTCTGGGTATCTCCTGGAGAAATTCTATGTTCCAGGAAGGTTCTGTATCCATCAGTTTTCATTGATATTCATGGAGAAACTGAGTGCCAGGTTTCTTGTGGACCGTGCAGATGGGTTTTTCTGCCCAGCCCACAGCCCTGTCCTGTGGGAAGTGGGATTCCCTGGAGGCCAGTAAGGACAGCTGCAGTGGAGTCCTGAGCAGACAGATGAGAGAGGTCAGAGAACTGGCAAGCCAGGGCCTCTGAAGCAGAGGACTTTCAGGAGGTGCGGTGTCCGGTGCTACAGAGGCCAAAGGAAGGTCTGGGTTGACAGCTGGGATAGGCAGCTTTCAGCTACATGCAGTGTGGTGGGTGGTGGAAAGGAGGGGTACAAGCAACCCAGATAAGAAGCTGCCTGGGAAAGAAAGGGAGGCAGCCACAGGGCCACAGCCAAGTTTTTAGGATGGGGAAAGGCAGGCTAGTGACAGGGATAGGGGACGGGAAAAATAACATGGCAAGATCCTGAAAGGGGGTGGACCGGGATCGGGGAGGGGGTACAGGAAGGACCCCAAGACTTTAAAGTGAGTATGTGCATGGTGGGGTGAGGACAGGGTGCAGATGCCACAGCAGACCTCCAACCAGGGAAGGTGGGGATTCAGGGCAGGCCAGTGCTGGGTGGGGAGTGCACAGGAGGCCTGCCCTGTGCCTCTGTGCAGACAGCCCATCCTGGGTGGAGACTGCCACATGCCCGGCTCTCATCCTTGCTTTCCTTCCATTCCTCATCCAATTATTCAGAGTCACATGACATGGCCGAAAATGGCAAAAGACAAACCCAACTCTGCAGAAGTCACACTTAGACTTCATCCTGAACTGGGTCTACAGAAATAGAAGGATCAGGCCTGCAGGAGCCTTCCAGGAGGTTTTAGCGCCAACACACTAGCAGGCAGGGTCTGCGGCCACCCACTTCCCCATGGGAGGCTGGGCCAGAGGCACGTAGTGAAGCGGGCACCGTCACCAACCCCCTTCACAGACAGGCCAGCATGCCCAGGACACACACAGCTCATGCAGTGGCAGTGCACAGACTTCAACTCTGCATCGCAATTTGACTCGGCATCCCCAAGCTCTTTTGCTTGGATCAATAAATAGTATCACCCAGGGTGGACAGAAATAGCCTAAAATAATGTTTCTTCTAGACCTATGGAGTTGAAGTTTCTCCAGCACACACAGCTGGGGATAGACCACAAGCCAAGTGTGCTGGCTGCAGCCTGCACACAAGGGATAATGAAAGTGCCGCCGTACAGAATCTTAAAAAAAAAATCACTCAATAAAATGTATGCCAGGTTGTGCTATCGACGAACCGCCTTTACTATCCACCCTTCGGTAAAGTCTACATACCCTCTCCCTTGGTTCCTCTGGCAGCTGCGTTCACCACTGAGATGCATAGCAGCATCTTGATAGTGACCCCAAACAAAAACGACCAAAACAACAGCATTAATATAAAGATATATTCCATAAAAGAGTTTGGCAGTCAAAGAGAAGCATCACACTTCCTAAAAACACAAGCATTCTTCTTCTCCTAGTCTACAGAAAATTGTAAAAAAAAAAAAAAAAAAGAAAAGAAAGAAAAGAGAAAGGAAAAAAAGATGACGACATCATCATCAACAGCCACTGGTATACACCACACTAGAATGTACACTCCAGCAAGTAACTGAAGGTTGCACTCAATCCCTGAACGATGAGACAAGTGGTATGAGCTATGGCAAAGCATTAGAAAGCAGCCCAGCTGGACAAATGTCCCAGCTATCCCCAGGGGTATTACTCAGTATTTAAGAAGACTTCATTTCCAAGAGCAAGCCCCAGAACAGCCCTGACAGGAAGGGTGGACCACTCACCACTGATATCCTATGGTGGGGGGTGGGGGGCGGTCACCACTTAAGTCAGAAACAAAACGCCAGAGCTTCTGAGCAGCTGCAGCCTGGGGTCATGGCTTGACCCTGGGCCTGGCTGCAGAACGGCTGTCCAGAGAGAGACAAATGGCAGGCTGGCCAGTCCTGGGTACACAGCCGAAAGAGAAGTCCTGGCCAACAGTTTCGGGCTGGCCACCTTGGGCTAAGGCTCCCCAGGCTTGCAGTGGGGAGGGTCAGGATTCAAGTTCTGGCTGACAATTTCAGTAGCACCAAGGACAGAAGACAGTGAGGCCACGCTGGGGAGTGGGCGAGTGGGCGAGTGCTTGTGTGTGGGATCCATGGAGGGAGGCTGTAGTATATGGAAGGGAAGGAGAGGCTGTTACGGGCTGGTTCTTAAGACATTCAAGGGGACTCAAAGGGTCGGCTCCAGCCGTGGACACCATGTAAGGCTGCTCAAAGAAGAATGCTGGAGGAGAGGAAGAGGAAGTGAAATGGTGTGAGAACATTCTTACCCCTATAAATAAACTATTTACACACTTTAAGAAAAGGAGAGCCGGCTCTCAGTGAAGAACCATGTCCACCGCCCCACCATCGCCACCAGGGCTTAATGCTGTCAAGACCAGAGGCAGTTCTGGCACCAGGAGAACAGCTGGCAGACATGGCGGGGCAGTGGACAAGGCACTCCCGTGGCACCAGTCCACGCACTGGCTCAGGCTTACTTCACTTGAACATGGCTGAGGATCCTGCAAACAACCCCTGATGTGTGCATGCCCCCGCAGACCACAATGGCACTCAGAGGCCCAGCGGGGCCCCGTCTGCCTCCCCAGTTACAGGCAGGTCCCCGTGCTGCTTGGCTTGATGGAAAGAAATGCCCTGTCCACGTCTTCAGGTCCCTCTACCCACGGCCCACCCACAGATGTGGATGACCCAAAGCAGATGTCTGGACGCCAGTGGAGAGGGGGCCAGGGTGTCCTGCAGACGTCCTGCAGAGCTGCAGGGGGACTGAGTCAAGCCCTCCTGGCAGCCTTCTCTGTCCTTCTGAGTCACAGGAGCCTTCTCTGTCCTTCAGAGTCACCACTCCCACATAAAGACACATTCTGTCTCTGGGAAGACCCCAGCAGGGATGCAATCACAAGTTTGGGCAGGTAACAAGGGGACCCCTTGGTCTTCAGCACCAGCAAGGAGAAACAGAGAGGTCATATCACGCTGATGCTGAAGATGGAGTGCTGGCTCCAGGGGTGTCGGCTCCTCTCCCTCTGGACGTAGGGCTGACGGCAAAGAAAGGCTCTGGCCTCCCAGCGTGGCTCAGCTCGGCTCCCTCAACTCTTCAGAAGTGATGGCCGGCCTTCACCGCCTCGATGTCTGATATCAGGGTCCTCGCCAAGAAGATGCCAAATATCTGAAACCAACACCAGCAGAGTCAGCAGCCATCACTGGGGCCCAAAGGCAGAGGGCAGGGAGTGGAGGGTGTGGTTGGGGGTTCCCACTGCACACCACTCCTCACCCCTCCACTGCAAATGAGGGTGAAGAGACGGTACCACAAGCAAGTGGCACAGCACAGCCGCCCCTCCCGCCAAATGGGGGTCCTGAGGTCTAGTTTGTTACATCCTCAGAGCCTAGAAGAGGCGAAACACAGGCACCACAAGCAAAACAGACACTCTGCCCTACCTCCAACATGATTAAGTGCGTCACACACCATGGGGCAGGACACGCCTGTCCCTGGGTTAAACCAAAAATAACAGGGTCACCCTGACTGGTTCTGATTCCCAAAATAATACATCTTGAATGTTTCCTGTAAACATCTATTCCATAATAAAACCAAGGCCATCCCCAATGTTGGCTGTGCTAATGTCTGAAGATCCATCCCAACCTTGGTGAGCAGGGAGTGAGAGGAGATGTTCTTTTAACCTGAACAGACGAACATGAACTTGGTGACCTCTGGAAATGGCTTTTTTCCCCTTTAAATTTTTGTGTGGTTCTAATTTAGCTAGTCAATCCTTCTGAAGTCTGATTCTTCCCTTGCCCGTTTTGTAAATAACTTGTTTCTTTCCTTTTCCAGTTGCTTTTTCCTAACTCTTAGTCTTCCTTGAAGAAGACCAAGAAGGTATGTGTGGGTGGCTGGTGGCCCTGGGTGGGTCTACCTCGGTCACCCTCTTCAAGGCAAGGACAGAGTCAAACATTTTCTAAATGGTGTATTTTCCATACAAGAACTGCATCAGTGGACCCAAAAGCTGCAGCTTCTTAATACAAGCCTTGAACAGCACTGGAAAGACTCCTGGTTTCCCTGATCACTGAATTCTCGACTTTCTCTGCCAGTTCTCCTGGCCGTCACCAACCAGCCCAGTCACCCTAGGCCTCACTGCCTGCTTGGCCACCAACATTCGCCCATGTGTGAAACCTGGTTCAAATCAACAAGCACAGCCTGCGAGGGCAAAGGATGCCATAAACGGCAGCAGGCCTCAGAGGATGTCTCATGGACAGGGAAGATGCCTGACAGCCCCAGCCCAACAGCCAGAGACAGGAGGAGAGGTCCTGGGGTGAGTGCAAACATATGAACCTCAGGCCACCCTCAGGCCCCAGCTGACCAAGAGTTTTGCCTCCCTGTCTGCAGTGCTTGATGGCCTACCCCGAGCACACTCCTCACCCACCTCCACACAGGCAGTGAACCTTCTGCGGCCCATCAGGCCCTCAGGAGAGAGCAACCAACAGAACCTGTGCAGGGCCACAAGCCTCTCCCAGCCTTCCCCTGCCCAGTGGGGTCCCCTGTAGGTAGCATTTATGAAACCCACCATTCTCCTCCCCAATATGCTCACACACATACACTCTCTCAGCCTTGGACATCCAACGGAATCCCTTTTTTCCTTCTGCAAGGTTCCTTAATACCACACCCACGCACTCTATGCTAAGGGCCCAATCTTCTCAAATGAAAAAATGCTGCCTGCCAATCCTACAGGCTCCTGGGACACACCTGCAGCAGCGAGATGGCAATGAAGATGCCGGCCACAATGTAAATGTTCCTCGGGAGCCAGCTCTCCAGCGCCTGGATGCAGCCCTTCGTGAAGATGGACTCGTCCCACTTGCTCTTCAGCTGCAGGGAAACACCACAGGGGCCTGAGCCTTTGGCAAGCATGATATTCCCACCCCGGTCCCCTAGAAAGCCCTGGCAGGGAGCAGGACAAAGCAGGGTGGGAACGAGGGATCTGGAAGGCAGGCACGGAGGACTCTCCAGGAGACACTATCCAGCTCATCTCAGCCTCTGCCCTTGCTGGACACCTTGTGATCATACCGCCTGTCTGACCAAAGGCTCCCTGGCTGTTTCCCTTCAGGTGTCCAGAGATTTAAAGACCAACTTTCTCAAGATACCTGTCCCCAACATCCACATCTGGAGAAAGAGAGGGGGCTTGAAGGCTCAGAGGAGGATGTGTCTTTAAAGGGAAACCTGGAAAAGGGGGTCCAGAGTTTCCTGAGAAGGGAGGGAAGGAAGGTGGCTTCTTGAAGCAGACATCCCACTGGTAAGCTCAGCTCCAGGCAACAGAGCCAACAGGTAACAGTCACCAGCTGACCGGCCCCTCCAGTGCTGAACCTGGTGGGGCGTCAGTAACCGCCCCAGCACACACCCAGCCCTGCCCACCCCCCACAGAGCGATTGGCACCAGCCCCCTGACCTATGAGCCTCCTCCATGGCAACACGATGGTGCATTAATTCACTTTAGAGGTGTTAGGGGCTAAATCGTGTCAGCTAAAAATTCATATGCTGAAGTCCTAACCCCCAGGACGTCAGAACATAATTGTATTTGGAGGCAGGCTTTTACAGAGATAATTAAGCTAAAATGAAGCCATCAGGGTGGCCCCTAATCCATTATGACAAGCATCCTGCTAAGAAGAAGAGATCAGGACACAGACATGCACAGAGGGGAGCCACATGAGGACACAGACAGCCACCTGCAGCCAGGAGAGAGGCCTGGGACAGACCCTTCCATCACAGCCCTCTGAAGACACCCACCCCACCAGCACCTTGATCTTAGATTTCTAGCCTCCAAACTGTGAGAAAATAAATGTCTGCTGTGACCTAAATTTCCATCTGTGGTATGTTGTGACAGCGGCCTTAGCAAATTAATATAAGTGGCAAAAAAAATTCATAATTAGGGACACTGATGTTGACACAGGTTCTTATCTTAGTCCACTGAGCCAACTATAACAAAATACTATAGATTAGGTGGCTTATAAACAACAGAAATTTCTTTCTCACAGTCCTGGAGGCTGGGAAGTTCAAGATCAGAGCACTGGCAAATTTGGTATCTGATGAGGGCGCACTTTCTGGTTCACGGACGGCAGCCTCTCACTGTGTCTTCACACAGTGGAGCGACAAACTCTCTGAGCCTCTTTCATAAGGGCACTCATCCCACTCATAAGGACTCTGTCCTCCTGACCTAATCCCCTCCCAAAGGCCTTATCTCTCAATACCATCACACTGGGGTCTAAGTTCCAACATGTAAATTTTGGGGAGATGCAAACATTCAGTTTATAGCAGCTTCTCCCTGTGAAATGCAGGTCCCTAAAGGAGGACAGCTCCCCAAGCTGTAGGGACACATCCCTCATCCACGGTGAACAGGAGGCGTCTCTGCAGATTCCTCGAGACTCCTCCCTTTTAGAATAGCAGTCATTCATATCACCAAAGACCACCAGAACAAGGACTGGAGTGGGGTAAGGTCTTGCTTCCCTTTGCATCCAAGAGCACACTCCCTACAGCCTAAAGGAAGTTCCAGAGGACAGGGCCTCCATGGAGGCCAGAGCAAGGCACATACACTCCTGCAGCTGTCCCCTTAACAAGAGACACCTTCTGGGACTCAAGGAGCCTTCTAAAAATGCAGTCTTTTTCCCTCAAAACTTCTATCCCACCTCTTTAAATGCAGCAACTCCCAGGTGTTGAGACTGCAGCTCACAAGGCTTAGAATCACTATTACTGCTCCCAGGAGTCCTGCTGCCAACCCAGGAAGCAGTGTGTGTGTGTCACTGTGCCCGTGCTCAGCTTAGGTGGCATCAGGAGCTTCACTGCCCCTAGTTCTCCCACTGCAATTTGCACTTGCACTACATCAGGATGTTGAACCATAGGGAATAAAACCTAAAGAACTCTTAAAGTTGTAGACACTGGAGTGCTCACCTGAATCCTAACATCATATCCACACTGTGTGTTCACAACTTTTTGCTGCAAGAAAAGCAGAAAAATTAGTTACTTTTGTTGTCTTAAGAAGCTGGTGGTAAGAGGCTCTGGAAAAGTCACAACCAAACACTAGCAACCAATTGTGCAAATTCCATTACAGATATGTCCTTCAGTCACACTACCAACTAATCCTTCAGGCCAGGACAGCGTGGCAAACTTTCTCTGTGAAGGGCTAGAGAGTGACTATTTCAGACACAGACTCAACTCTGCTTTTGTTGCATGACAGCAAGCACTGACAATATAAAAACAAACAGGAATGGCTATATTTCAAAAAAACTTTATGGACACTGATATTTGAATTTCATATAATATTCATGTACCACAAGTAATCCTTCTTTTGATTTATTTCCAACCATTTAAAAACACCTGAAAGCATTCTTAGCTCACAGGTCATAGAAAAACAGCAGGCCACATTTGGCCTGGCGGGGTGGCACAGTTTGCTAGGAGGTAATGCCTATATTTGGAGGTAAAAACTATACATGCTAAAAGTAACACTTATGAAACTGGTACATTTCACAGTCACAGTGGAGACCTCAGAAGATCTGTGCAACTTCAGCAAATCTGAGCCTCTGCTGGGCTGCAGAACTTGCCTATAGGTGATGCTCTGCCTTCTAAGAGCCCGTAACCCAGTACCTGGCTTTACGTAACTGTACCGAGAGCTGGTAACAGGCCCAGTTCTGCTCAGGCTCAGTTCGGGCAAAATTCAGAGCTCCTTCACAGGTCACCCAAAGAGCCTAGCTTCTGGAACCCAAGAACGCTGGCCTTGGATTAGGAATGAAAATACTTAAAAAAAAAAAAAAAAAAAAAAGGACAGGACAGGCGCAGTGGCCCATAGCTGTAATCCCAGCACTTTGGGAGGCTAAGATGGGCAGATCGCTTTGTGCCCAGGAGTGCAAGATCAGCCTGGGCAACACGGTGAAACCCCATCTACAAAAAATACAAAAGTTAGCCAGGTGTGGTGGCTCAGGCCTGTGGTCCCAGGTACTAGGGAGGCTGAAGCTGGAGAATTGCTTGAGCCTGGGGAAGCAGTGGTTGCACAATGAGCTGAGATCGCACTGCTGTACTCTAGCCTAAGCAACAGAGTGAGACCCTGTCTCCAAAAAAAAAAAACAGAAATAACTAGCCGGGTGTGGTGGTGTGCATCTGTAATCCCAGCTACTCAGGAGGCTGAGGCCAGAGAATTGCTTGAGCCCAGGGAAGCAGTGGTTGTACAGAGAGCTGAGATCACGCCACTGCACTCCAGCCTGAGCGACAGAGTGAGACCCTGTCTCAACAACAACAACAACAAAAACCCCAGAAAAAAACAAAAAACAGAAAATAATTAGCTGGGTGTGGTGGCATGCATCTGTAATCCCAGCTACCCTGGAGGCTGAGGCAGGAGAATCATTTGAACCTGGGAGGCGGAGGTTGCAGTAAGGTGAGATCGCTTCACTGCACTCCAGCCTGAGCGACAGAGTGAGACCCTGTCTCAAAAAAAAAAAAAAACAGAAAAGAATTCTCCGCTACTGTTGCCCAGTTAATGATGTGTGCCCACAGCCACTGTGTGCTGTTGAGTTCTAGGCATTTGCTCCAGAAAAGGAACAGTGAAGACGGCTAAGCAGGCCTTATTTCCCTCATAGCTCTTGGCCAGCTACCCCGAGTGAGAGCCCTCCAGGTAGGAATAATACTGTTTTTCTTCTGCCTCACCCAGAACACTAAGGCCAGGGTGGGTCATGCAAGCAATGTTCCTAGAATGTACAAGTATTGGATTTCTGAGCTGCGGCAGCCTTGAGGAGGGCGTGGAGAGAGTACACCTACTCCTCCGACCTGCTTGAGAGAACATCCCAGAGCACAAGAGTCAGGAAAGCTGTGGGCTTCAAGAAGGGCCAGCGCAAGTCAACTCACCGCAGGATCCGGGACGCAGCAGGAGAAGGGGACCCCACACTTCTCTCGGCTGTAGCTGGCGCCACTGCAGTTGAAGTAGACGTTAAGGTCCCAGTCTTCAGGGCCATACGCACCACAGCACTGGTTCTGCAACCACAGAAGCCAGAACTGTCAAAGGCTCCAAGACAGGCCCACGGCTGCCCAGCACAGGGCAGCATTCTTGGTGAGGTCAGGCTAAGTCTGCTGGCATCTACCATGCAGAGAAATCACGGCCCGCCCAGCTACCTCCCATGTGTAGAGACGCTAGGCTGGCAACCCAGGAAGCCCTTTGAGAAGAAAACAGCTGGGTGCGGTAGCTCAGGTCTGTAATCTCAGAGACTCAGGAGGCTGAGGTGGCGGGATGATTTGATCCCAGAAGCTGGAAACAAGTCTGGGCAACACAACAAGATGCCCCCTCACCCCCAATCAGAAAGAAGGGAAAGAAAACAAAACAAAAGAAAAAGAGAGAAAAAAGGAGAGAGAGAAAGTGAGAGAGAGAGAGAGAAAGAAAAAGAAGGGAGGGAGGGAGGAAGGAAAAGGAAGAAAAAGAAAAAGGAAGGAAGGAAGGCAGGGAGAGAGGGAGGGGAGGAGAGTGGGGTGAAGAAGAGAACCTGCCCTTTTGATATGTTAAAGAAAATAATAAAAACGAATAAATAAAAACGAAATGGCAGTGAAGGTATCTCCGGGACCACAGTGCCTCTTCAATCTAACCCAACACGGGTGGCTCAGTGGAGCTCCCTGGCCCCACTGCTGGGCACAACAAACCCAGCCCTCGCCCTCCTGAGCAGGGAGCTTGCCCTTCTTCCCAGTCTCCTCAAAGGAGAGGAGAGTGGCCTCCTCTCCTTGCAGGCCCCCTCGGCACCTTGGCGTGGTCCTCTTCTCACCACAGAGAACACCTCCCAGTGTGCAGTGTTCTTCCTCCCTGAGAAACTCACAAGCGAATTCCCCTTTTCACCTTTTTACAAAAAACAGCTGGCTGGGCATGGTGGCTCATGCCTGTAATCCCAGCACTTTGGGAGGCTGAGGCAGGCCAATCACAAGGTCAGGAGTTCAAGACCACCCTAACCAACATGACGAAACGCCGTCTCTACTAAAAATACAAAAAACTAGCCGGGCATGGTGGCACATGCCTGTGATCCCAGCTACTCAGGAAGCTGGGGCAGGAGAATCCTTGAACTTGGAAGGCGGAGGTTGCAGTGAGCCGAGATCGCACCACTGCACTCCAGCCTGGGTGACGGAGCAAGACTTGGTCGCAAAAAAAGAAAAGAAAATTGACAACAGTGATTTCTGTTTTTTTATTTTGTTTACCTCTCAGGTAAATCATCTCCCCCCACATCTCTACTGTTCCACTTATTTTAGTGATTACCTGAAATTTCACCCCAAGGAAGCTCTGTAATTTACTGAATCCCTCCTCTGGGAAGTTTCATTTTTAAAAGAAAAAGAAGTCAATGGAGAAAACTACTGTTTTTAAGACAGTGCAGGTCTGAACCACAACCTAAGCAGGCTGAGACCAGCAAGCCAAGGCTATGTGAAATGAAGAGAACGATGACACTGAACAGAAAAGAAAGGAGAGGCATCCAAACAGGGCTGGGATTTGGTGCCTTTCACAGACTAACACACATTAGTAATAACAATACAGGCAGAATCTTTAGTCCCATAAATGAGTTTTGCTGGATCCCATAATACATGAAATAAAGGTGAACAAATTTTGGTTAATAATGAGAGTGAATCATAGATTTTTAATGTTTTCTAAGTTATCTTCTTCTCAAAACCAAAGTGTTCCATATGAAAAGTTTTTAAAGAAGTTGGGCTTTCTGGCAGCACAAAGATCAAACAAGAGCCTTGCACTGCACAGGATGACGTGGCCAGGGAGGGGGTTCCTCCCTGGGGCGCTGGGACAGCTATGGTCCAAGCCTCCAGGTGCAGCCACACATGAGAGGCATAAGGGGGATGGGGACCAGATGGAGTAAAAGCCACAGCCTGGGACTGCTTAGATAAACCCCTGGGGACATATTCCAGGGAGGTCACATTCCGCTAGATCTGACAAAGCTTCCTCCAGGCAGCCCTGCCTTCTCAAACAGGAAGGGGAAAAGGTCCCAGGGAGGAAGAGGGCAGGAATAGCCTCAGACAGTGAGTCATAAGCCTGGGGGAACGAGCTGTGCCTCACGGTATGCAGCGGACTGTAGCCCATGTGGCTACTGGGCAGGACTGAAAAGATCTAGGTCCCAAAGAGGAGGGCCCGACATGTTGGGGTGGGTGACCTTGGGTACAGCTGGACTTGCCTGCCCAAACACAATGGGAAAGGGTTGGCCCACAGGGCAACCGCAAGCCGGCAAAGTGGAACAAACCCGATGCGGGGTGGCCTTTTCCATGGCCTCTCCGCTGTCCGCCAAACTACAGGCAGAAAACCCACAGGAGAGAAGGCCTGGTGCCCCTGTTAGCCTCAGCTCTGGGCACACAGCAAGCCACAGGGAGGCGTATGCTCTACCGGGGGCCCGCTGGGAGGTGCTTACCGCTTTCTGAAGGGAGTCGATGAGGTTCTGCAGGTCGATGTCGTCCCGGTAGGACTTGATGTTGCTCTCGAAGAACTCCCGGAACCGGTCCCTCACCCAGTCCTGGAACAGGAAGGCCAGAACGGCCACAGCCAGCTCCAGGAAGAAGATGAGCACGATGGTGCCACAGAACTGCAGGGGATGGGGACGGGAGCAGCAGTCACCACCCCACCAACCTTGCCCGCCGCCCCCCCCCACCCCCCGCAACAACTCCACCTGACCCAGAACCACTGCAGCAGGGCATGGGCTCTGCACCTGAGAGTCTCACATCGGGGCCCTGAGAATCCCACATGGTTAGCTGGGTGACTCTAGGCAACTTCGCTTCATCTGTAAAGAGGGGCTATTTGTCCCTGCCCACGTCACTACACTGCTGGTAACAGTCAAATGACTGAAAAAATGTGAGAAAGCTCCGAGCCAATGTGTCAATCATTTCCAATGAAGCAGCCCTCCTTCCTGGACAAGGAGGAAACCCTATTACAGGAATGAATGGCTGTCCACCTGGATCCCCCAGGGTGGAATCCTGGGGTGTCGGCTCCTTTAGTACAGACACTGTGCCCCAGACGCTATGTGACGACTCCTTCCCCTCACACAACCATCGAGTACCCAGGTATCTGTCACCTCACTTCAGGGATGAGAAAACTATGACTAGGTACATAGCTTGCCTGAGGTCACATAGTTCATGCAGGCCATGTGAGTTCCCTGGCAGGGCTCTTTACAATTCTGGAAGTGCCAGTGTTATCTGTACCAACTCTGCATGACAGTATATGATCGTCAGCTGCATAAAGACCCCTCCAGAAGCTCGGCTGCCCCGGGCCAGTAGCAGTGGTGGCATTCTACAAGGGCCCAGTGCTGCCACAGGTCCACATCCCATCAGGGCAGACTCCTAGCCTGCGGTCTGTGCTCTCACAGCCATTATCATTGGCCATACAAGACACTAAGCAGCTTTGCCATAACCGGCAAATTTGGAGTAATCTTTCAAAGCAAGAAAAAGGAAACACACATGCACACATACACACACACATGCACACAAGGCCTGCCAAAATGTAATCTCTGCTCACAGAACAGCAACATGCTAAACATCAAAGAAAAAAAAAAAAAAAACCCATAGCTTTGCTTTAAAATTCAGTCCAGGAAAGAGAACGCTTGATCTAATCAAGTCAACAAACAATACACTGCAAAATATGATACTAATGTGTTTTCCCCACCAGGTGTTATTTAACTGGATACAATTAAAAATGAATTTATATCTAAATATAAAACTAAACTCTTAGTAATCTGCAGTTTTGCCAGGAAATTTGGGATTCTGCCTTGTGCATCCAACAGACTCACACATCCTTAGAGGAGGGAAATGGTTTCTCAAGGTTATTTGCAACATCTTTTGATCTTAGTCAGGAAGGGCAAAGGAGAGCAGCAGACTAACAATTCTTTCAGAACTTCTGAAGAAAGATAAAAGGCACAGGAGCAGGGAGTAGAACTGGCCTACAGGCAGCTGACTCCTCCCACCAAGGGCTAAAACCCAGAGGGTACCTAATTCTCCTGGGGTGAGGAACCAGCTTCTGTAGACAGCAGGGTGCAAAGGGCTGCCTCCTGCTCCCAGGCAGGGGCCTGGGGGAGGCTTCTAAGAGTTGCCCCCTGCTCTGGCCAGGTAACATATAACCCTGCCCAGCAGAACCTGTACCCCCCTCCATCCTATCCCACTCTTGTCTCTGTGGCCACTCACAAAGTTGAGCAGGCAGATATTCTCCCGCAGAGCCCCCACGCAGCCGGCAAACCCCAGGGTGAACATCACCACGCCCACCATCAGGACCAGCACCACGGGGTCGATTCCATGCATCCGGGTCACTTTGGTGAGGTCGGACAGCACACCCTGAAAGAGACAGAGAAAGCAGGGCAGCATCAGCAGGGAAAGGGAATCAAGGATGCCACCCGGGGGGGTGCAGGTGGAACGGAAAACAGGGACTTGCCTTCCCAGGCTCAGTCCTCTTGTTAACAGCCAGGCCAGAGTCTGGCCCCATCCATGCCCTCAGGGACCCCTCTGACCAGCAGATTCTTGTCCACCTCAGGTCCCAGAGGGTATTCCTGGCCTCCACCTAGGCTGTGAGTTCCTCCCAGGCAGCCACCAGCCTTCTTCCATAGCCTGCAGGGTGCCTGTTCCAGGCCTGGAGGGAAACAGAGCCCTGTGGCCTGTGGTCAAACTGGTCACCCAGGTGGCTAACCTTGTTAGTCCCCCAATTTGGCACCTAATTAATGAGGAATGCTACTCTCCTGAGATGAAAACAGCTTCAATATGAACACTCTTGGGGAAAACACAGCAGGGGGCAGGCCAAAGCAGCACTGCCCATAAGTTTCTACATTGATGGAGGTGTTTTAGACTATGCCCCCACTGTCCGGCCATAGGGATCGTGGAGCACTTGAAATGTGGCTAGTGAGACAGAAGGGCTGAATTTTGTTTTATATTCAATTTCAATTTAAACACAAACCATCACACAATGGGGAGAACAGTTCTGTAGGGTTTATAAAATGCCAAGGGGGAAGCTGAGCCCTGGAGACTGAGCCATACAGCGTGTTTGCAATTCTGTTTCTTAGATTATGGTTGAACTCTCCTTCTCTTTGTTCCCGCTAGGTATGGGACTAGGAGAGACCACAGCCCCCCTTCCAGTCACTGATCTCTGCTATAGTTTAACTGCTTCCTTCATTGTTCTTTACTGACTCAGATCAGGTATCACCTAAGACCAGGGACAATTACATCTACAGTGTGGAATGCTAAACATACCTTTCCTGAAAGCTGCCTCAACTAATCAGAACATTGTGACTATGTATTAAGATGTACATAGGTGTCCGGGGGTGGTGGGTCATGTCTGTAATCCCAGTACTTTGGGAGGCTGAGGCGGGCAGATCACTTGAGGCCAGGAGTTCAAGACCTGCCTGGCCAACATGGCAAAACCCCATCTCTACTAAAAGATACAAAAATTAGCCGGGTGCTGTGGTACATGCCTGTAATCCCAACTATTCAGGAAGGGGAGGCATGAGAATCTCTTGAACCCGGAAGGCGGAGGTTGTAGTGAGCCAAGATCAAGCCACTGCACTCCAGCCTGGGCAACTGAGGCTCTGTCTGGCTTTGTGCAGATAAACGATCCCAAGCTTCTACACTTCGAACAGGAAGGCTGACTTCCATTCTTTGGAATTTGTGCTTCTTGGGTAGGCCTGTCCTCAACATGTGTGATTGAATAAAGTCTCTCTAAGCTAGGTTCTGGCCTTTTTAACTATTTTAGATGGACAGATTCAAAGGAATAGTAGCCAGCTCCACACTTAGGGCCACACCCAGTCAGGTGGCTGCAGTCCCAGGGGCAGCCACACGGTGGCGCTGTGAGACAGATTGAACCTGCTTCTGGGTCACTGGGGCAAAAGGACATCACACTCCAGCTCTTGCCCTTCAGGGGTTCACAGGCCAATTTGAAGGTGCCCAAACTTGAAGGTGGGCCTTATCCACACCTAAGATCATGGCAGGAAAGCCTGTAGATCTAGGTTCTCCTGCCTCTTCCTACCGGAAGCAAAGGGAAGTTCCACTGAAGGAAGAAGGCCCGGGCCCAAGACACCAGAAGAAGCTTTAGTCCTGGCTCTTTCTGGCCAGGCCTGCTCTACCTTACTGCTTCCCTCCCTTCTTCCCTCCCTAGCTCTTTACAGCCCTTACCGCCTCCCCAGCACTTGTGCCACAGGGCAAGAAGTGGCAGCACAGCCCCACCCTGCCCACTCCAGTTTCATCCCCTTCCTGGAGCTGCAACTGCCCCATGTGCCTCCAGACAGTAGGAGCTGTGTCTCCCCTCCTCCCCTCTCTTCCTGAGGCTGGGCAAGGAGGCACAGAGATGCTTAAAGAATAACCCCTGCCCCACAGGGTACCCTGGGGGCACGTAACCCAGCCCTGCTCCCTGCTCTCTCTCAACCAAGAGGATAAGAGCCTCAACAATAAGCATGCCTGTGTTCAGGGACCTGGGTCGCCCCATGCCTGCCCCGGGCACAGCTGCAGGCAAGAGCTGAGCTCTCTCCATCCACAGAGATCAAAACCGAAACAGCCCAGCTCCTGCCTCCAGCAGCCGACCTTATCGTGGGGACAGAGTAGGCAGGTGCTGTATCTGTAAACATTAACAACTACACACCTTGACACTGCACGAGAAATGCTTGTCAGGGAACAGACTGGAGGATGGGAAAATGAAGTCCAATTAATCTGGTTTTGGCTGCCTGAAGCTCAGCGTCCTGTGACAGTTATACCTACCTTTTCGCTCCATGCCCACAGCCCAACTCCAAGGAAGACAACTCCAGCCAACTAAGCGGGGGCAGAGGAGAGAGAGAGAGAGGGGAAGTTAGGCCAGAAACCAGCACTGTGACCATGCTTCATAGAGTGAAGTCCACACTGTCAGGCAGGGCACGCTCCTAGCTCACATCCCACATGGCCCCTTGGGCCCTGCAGATGACAGGGGCCGGCAATGCCAGAATAAATGGGCATTGAGGTTCTTCAGATAACTTGAACCCACCTTCCTGAATGTCTGGACAAACTCCTTCAACCTCAGATGACCCCGTGACCCAGGGAGGGGAACAGGAAAAGATCTCAGAGCAGACTCCACCCTGGAGAGACTATGGGTCACAGACATCAGGCTGTGCCCTGTTTCTTCCCCTTTCTGCAACCCTGACTCATATCAGTGCACTATCTGGTGTATAAGAAGACATCACCCCTTGTGAGGGCTGCGCCAGGTCCCCTCAGAGGTTCCTAAAGCAAGAAGAGGCTGCACAGGGCCGGGTACCACCACAGGGTGAAGACAGGGGGAAGCAGAGACCAGCACCACCTCTGCCACACATACCAGCTCTCCAGTCCTGGAGGTAGACACCAGGCACAGATAAGCAGCTACCCAGCGGCCCAGGCCATCCACTGGCCAGGGCTAAGCCTCCTCCCCGAGGCATCTGTACTGAGCAGGGGGTGCCCCTGTGCTCAGGATAGGCTGGGTTTTTAGCTAGAGAATGAAAACAGGCCTGCTCTAAGCAATGCGCTCACCCCAGAAGAGAAGCACCCCCAACCCCAACCTCCCAACTGCAGGAACCCACACCCCATGTGTACCACAACAGAAAGGGGCCCATCCAAATACATCACACAGGTTCCTGAAGCAGGGAGGACTTTTCCATATAGAACAAAACACATTGTGGGCTCTGCTAATAAAGCTGCCTCCTATTTTTCTGTCAAGATTTTATACCACACTGGCATTTCACTGCACTTATCAGCATCTCACGATAAATAACAGGACCACACTTCTCTATGACTATCAGCTTTCCAGTGTGTTCTCAAGCCTTGAGCCACTTCTGCCTATTTTACTCAATAACTAGCCCCAGGACCAGAATGGAAAGAAAAGGCTCAAGGAAAGCCCCAGGAAGTCTCACCCAACCTGAAGGTGATCTGTGATCCAACCTCTTCTGGGTCACAGATCACTTTCAGAAAATGCACACATACCCGGTATTTTGTATGAAATTTCAGAGAGTTCATAGCTTCCCACTGCTGGCTCCCACAATGGTCTGTGAACAGTAAGTGAAGAAGCCTCACCAAGAACCAATCACTCCATTTACAAAAGCAGAACACTGGGGCCCAGGGAGGGCCAAGACCAAAATGCCAGGCAGTGGGGAGAAGGGCTGAATCCCAAGTCTCAGTTCATTCATTCATTCCTCACTCATTCATTCAACAAATATTCATGGAGTACATCCCGAGAGTCAGATACCGTGTCTCAAGTACTGGATAAAGCACCATGCGGGGCAGAGCTCCCTGGGCTCATTCCTGACCTTTTCTACCACACCACACCCGTTTCCCAATTCTCAGTCTGCCCCTTAAACTGACCAGCTGGGAAGGGTTCTCTTGATGGAATGCATGACTGCTTCCTTTCTCTCTCCAGGTGTCTTACACTGACATGCTGAGCTCCAGCCCCACCCACCTTATTCAAGGTTCCCAGTGACCTGCCTCCTTCTTGCCAAGGCTGGAGGCCAAGACTTTTTTCTCATGGTATCTGGCTGGTCACTGGTCACAGCTGATCATTCTTCCTTCCTCCAACTACTCCACTGACACACTCTGCTTTGGGGACCCCAAGCATATGCCCCTGGCGGCCTTCCTCCCTGCTCCTCCTCCTCCTCCTTCAGACCCCTCTAGATGCTGGTGGGCTTCACTCACAGTCCTAGCTCCTTCACCCTGCCCTGAGCCCTCTAGATGATCTTGTAATTCACAGGGTTTAAATGCCATCTATACACTGCCGACTGGCACACCGAGACCTCCAGTCGTGGCTGTGCCCAGGTCAAATACCCTAGCGTCTACTTCACTTGTCCTCCTAAGACAGCTAATGATATTTCACTCTCACCATGCCCCGCTCTGCAGCCTTGGTCTCCCAACCCCAACCCAGCTCCCCACAACTGTTCTCCGACTCATTCAGTGGCACCACCGTCCACCCAGCCAGTGTAAGAGAGAAAACCCAGACCCCAGGCTTGGTGTCTTCTTCCTCTTTTGCCCCACACTCCCCCAGAGGACCCTCTGCTGGTTCTGCCTCCAAATACACAGTGCATTCGACCAGCTTTCCTCCAGAGTCTCTGCTCCCACCTGCCCCGGCTCCACTCAATTGTCTGGATCCCACAGAAGGCTCCTCATGGGTCCCCAAGCAACAAGACTGATCCTTCAAAAATACAGAACCAGGAACTTCCCTCCATGAAACTCTGCAGTGACTTCCCATGCAGACCTGGAATGAAATGCACACCCTCTGCTATGGCCCCCAAGGCCTCTGCAGCCAGGCTTGATGCACATCTCCCATGGCATCTCCTTCCCTCTCCCTGCTCCAGCGCCACTCCCTGGGCCACCCTGGCATTGCTGCTGTTTCTTGAAGTCGTCAAACTCACCCCTGTCTCGGAGTCTGGACACTGTTCCCCCAGCCTGGAATGCTCTTTCTCCATATGCATTCCTGGCTCCTCCCTCACTACATTCAAGGCCTGCTTTTACCATTCTGCATGGAACTGCTCCCCATCCCCCACGTGTGACCTCCTCTTGATTTTCTTTGAAGCACTGATCCCAGATCCCCAGCTAAGCCATCCTGAGGGCAGAGACATTATCTGTTTTGTTCAGAGTGGCAGCCCAATAACTTGGAGGACTTGGCCCCATAGTAGGCACAGGGCCCAATACCAGGACAGTGCTTGCCTGAGTCCTTCTGGCTACTACCCTCAGGCACATTTCTGGGTGTAATTCGATCCAAAGGCATTCAGAGCAAAAGTGGGCCAAGAAACGCCCAGCCCGGCCCAGGTCCATGGTCAAGCTCTACATAGGGGCATTTCCCTCCGGAGCAGAATAAGCCTAGAGGCCGATGCCCCATCCAGTGTTCCCAACAGACATTCCAGCCCCTGCCTAACTGCTTCTCTTAACTGTTCACTCATCCCCTGGTGCCACATGTGACAGGAGAGAAGAGTCCACCTTAAAAACACTCAACAAAACCACTGCTGGAACTCTCCTCTCTCCCCCCACTGCACCTCACAGCTCACCCCTTCTCTCACCTTGACTTCTATCATTTCCCACATTGATACCAGCCTCAGGTTGAGCACAGTGGCTCACAGCAATTTGGGTGGCTGAGGCAGGAGGACTGCTTGAGCCCAGGAGTTCAAGACCAGCGTAGGCAACACAGCAAGACCCCATCTTATTTAAAAAAATGTTTTTTTAAAAAATTAGCTGGGTATGGTGTCCCATGTCTGTACTAACAGCTATCAGGAGGCCGAGGTGGGAGGACTGCTTGAACTCGGGAGGTCGAGGCTGCAGTAAGCTGAAATTGTGCCACTGCACTCCAGCCTGAATGGTGACAGAGTGAGACCAGGTCTCCCCCACCCCAAAAAAACCAGCCTCAGCTCCATTTATATTAATAGGTTCCTGTGAATTCATGCTGAGGTGCTGCTTTAATTGTTCTCCTAGATGACTAAATAGATACAATGGGAAGAGGTGACTGGTTTCACAAAGGGAATTTTGCTCTGCACAAGTTCTCAAAAAAGACCCTCGATCTCAAGAGCAGTTCATATCTCTACCCTCGGGGACCTGCTCCTGCTCACCTCTGTTCCAATCGCCCCTTCCCCAAACACAGGGCCACTTACCACTCTGCATATGGCCCACAGACCACACCCTCCCCAGCTTGCTGTTCTTCCCAAGGCCCCCCACCCCAGGAAAGCCCTGGCTGACTCTTTGGGCTGGGGAAGCCAGCTCCCCACCACTATGTGCAGTTCTCCTTCTCTCAGCTCTAAGAATAAGGGCTTGGCTGGGCGTGGTGGCTCATGCCTGTAATCCCAGCACTTTGGAAGGTCAAGGTGGGCAGGATCACCTGAGGTCAGGAGTCCAAGCCCAGCCTGACCAACATGGAGAAACCTCATCTCTACTAAAAATACAAAATCAGTTGGGCGTGGTGGCACATGCCTGTAATGCCAGCTACTCGGGAAGCTGAAGCAGGAGAATTGCTTGAGCCCAGGAGGCGGAGGTTGCGGTGAGCCGCTGCACTCCAGTCTGGACAACAAGAGTGAAACTCCATCTCAAAAAAAAAAGAATAAGGGCTTGTGTTGTTTTCCATTCTATTTTAAAGGAAGAACTAAAGTTAACTCACACCGGAAAGACAAGAACTTGGGGGTCACATGTCTGATCATGCGTTCAATGAACAGTGGCCCAGGGCAGGAGCTCTGAGCACCAACAATCCTGGTTTCAGAGACCAGGAGGCAGAGGGAGGACCAGATAGAGTAAGTAACCTACCTGGGCGCTCACATAACAGTGCCATGAATGAGCCGGGTCACCAGCCCACTTCACCCCAACAGAACCCTTCCCTGGAACTCTGCAGCAGATGGTCCATGAGGCCAGGCCGGGTAAGCCCTGGCTGCCAATCTTCTGGGAGTGAGGGTTCAGCTGAGTGCCCTCCAGCCTCAAGTGACCTTCTTTGTCTCCCTCCTATGACCCTACTGAAGAACGGGGCCCAGCTCCAGCCAAACTCAAGAGGAGGCCAGCGTTCTGTCTGTCTAGACCAGTGAGCATCTAGACTGCTGTGGTCACCGCAAATGATGGCCCTTTCCTGGGAGCTATGCACTGCATTAAACATTTAATGCACCGAAGACTATTCCTCCGTGTCCCATAACACTGGCCCAATTACCCTCATTTTTCAGATGGGAAAGCTCAAATGTAGAGCAATTTGGTCCTTTGCCCAAGGTCACATGGCTAGCTAGTGGCAGACTTAAGAACCAAACCCGGATGCCTCTGACCCTGGCAACACATTATCTCACCACCCACAGAGCAGC